CTTCGCGCGATTGTAGGCTACATCGTCTCTTGACGAGGACTTAATTAACAATGAGGAATCACGGCTAATCAGGCAGAGACGTTGTTCCCAACTGCTGCACAGTGCACTCGAAATCCTCTCCTCCCTCCCACCTTCTGATCCGGTATCGCTCTCAGCCGCGTTCTCGGATCCCTGTGTGCCTCCCAGTTCCTCTCCACAAGTCCCGCAGCTCCCGGATCTGAAACTACCCCCTATTTATGGCAGTCCGGTGTCTGAGGAGGTGCGTGTATCTACTTTTATGTGTCTGTCTTTATATGTAAAGGCCTGTTCTCCAGTTTCAATCTTTGAAATATGTGGCCTAGTTCCATTCTTTCATACGAGGTCGTGCCTACGCATTGCTGATCCGGAAATTTCAATTATCGCAAGCATGGTTACTAACAAACATTTAGTACCTCCTTTTATTCACCATCTACATTCAGTTTATCGAGGCGCACACGAGACTGGCGGACGAGGCCGAAGACCTTCGCAAAGCCATGATTGCCCAAAATTGTGGGGTTACTGTTGTTTCCGATGCCTCTCCATCTCCAGAACCGTCGCAGATGTGCTCTAGCCTTACCCAGGATTTGGTCTCCTTAGGTGAGGGCGTCAAGGCACTGCATGAGTTCGCTCACCTCCTCTCCGAGATAACGGATTCCATTGACCAGATTACTGAGGTATGGTTTTTTTCTAATTCGACTGACTTTTTGATTTTTCTGTTAGCGTTCGCATTCCATACACTTATTTGCTTGCATTCCTTTCCATCTTTGTTAGTCTGACTTGATGGCTTTGTCCTGCTTGCGTCCTCCTCTTTAGGTCTCTGACAAGTTCGCTGAAATGACGACCGGCCAGGACTGTAACCCTTCTGAAGCCATAAACTATGAACTGCTAGACAAGATCGTAGAGAACAGGACTTGTTTTATATCCCAAGGCTCCAACCAGGTCTAGACAGGCGACACTTCTCGTGATCGCCCGGATGTGCATGTATATTTCCAATTTGGTCTTTAATAAATCAGATTACTTTGCATGGCCTGCATTCCGTGTTTTGCGTCTAAACATGGAATTTTTTGTGCGATGATCTTAATGCTTACTTCTTACCATTTTTCCCGTCCAACTTTCTCGCGGTTGAGTTTATCACTTATCTCACGACCAACTGGTCGACGCGCTGAGTTGAAAGACAGACGGGAGTCGTATTCCAGGTTTCCCACCAAGTGCCTTCGCAAACCCCTCTTATGCTATTGTTCTTATTGGTTGCCTTACTGTAGGGGAGGCTGGAACGACCGTTTCGAACTTGGTCGTCTGCATTGTCATCCACCTGGCGCATTAGAGGCTCGAGAACTGTACTGAAGCCAAGTTATTCGTGAGTGAAGAAGAAGAGGGGTCGAGCATCGGAACACTTTGCTTATTGTCCTGAGCTTTCGAACACATGTAGGAGTCCACCATCAGAGATAGTAACCGCGACGGAACAAGCGACAGTTATAGGGTATGTAGGCCAATCATCGACCGACGGCGCAGGGCTCTGTACGCCGACGCCGGATCGATAAATCGATTGACAGGGTTCTCATCCGAAGCCCAGGCTTCAATTAATTCTCGGCTTGTTTTGTTTCCGGCGTGAGCGACTCTTTTAGTGACTGCGAAGTTAAGCTCGTGACCCATTTCGTAGGTGTGGGCGACCAATTGTGATAACGCGTCGCCTCGTCGCACAACCAGCTTATATTCGTGTATGCGCGATCCGAACATGCGTCCAGTCTGGCCTGTGTAGTTACAAGGACAGTTTTGGTACGGAATGCGATACACTTCAGAAGCGACCGAGCGGTGGACTCCTGGACGAGTTCGAAAGATCAGGACAATAGACAAAATGTTCCGGTGCTCGACCCCCCTTCTCTACTTACGCATAAACTTGGGACTCGAAATTTCGTCTTCAATTGAGTTAGTCGTTTCCAGGCTAGCTAGAGCTCAACCCTTTAGCCGCCAGACTGCGCTGCATCGAGACATCGTGACATTTAACTGCGCGTTCGCCCTTACCGCACTGTTGATCTCATCCTGGCAAGGAATCACTCAGGGAATGCTTGCTCCGAAGCATGACGTAATTGACCAACTATACGGCAAATGAGAAGGACATCCAAGGAAGTTTACCTTCCCGCTCGGTTGCAGGCGACACCAATGTGACCGAACGCGTTCCGCCACTGGCGTCCGCTGTGACATTCGTCTGAGTGTCTAAAGTGAGAGCATGTCCACACCGGCCTTGGAGTTGATTGACCGCTCACCATGCAAAGCCGAAGTATCTGATCGTGTCTGTCATTCTTGCATAACGGTCTATTAAGGCAGCCTATGTGCAGGTAATTACTACGCTTATTGGCTTGCCCCTGTTTCGTCCTGCGGCGGAATTCATTTCCTCTTGACAAAGACGACGACAGGAATCTCGAAATGCCACAACTCGGCTTGGTTATGCAGGGTATTTTCCCTTCCTTACTCGGTGCTCAGACTTCGCCTAGGCGGAGTCAGTAGCCACGCGGGGAGCGCACAGATGAACACTGATCCCAACGCCACGATCGGTGGGTCAGATGGTCGAGCAATCATCACACCAACATCCAACACACGTGATGTAATTGCAGCTATTAACGACGCAAATATCGGCCATCAAACAGTCAGCACACCAAGTGCAACAATACCTGAGGAAGGGGGGGGGGAGCCGTGAATTTTCATAGGTAGGCGGTAGCATGGCGACTGCATCCTGTAAATACTGCAGCCCCTTGTGCATGAACCACCCGTATCTACCATTGTCTCTGATGATGGTTTCGAGCAGGAATTTGAAACGTCAGGCAAATTAAGCACTTGTCCCAACGATCGTGTCTATTTCTTCAGGGTATTTTCTGCTTTTCACACCGTTTGCTTCATTGAAGTTTCTTATATTTAGTTCCGGTCTCGTAGGACTTTGGGCCGTTCCACCAAACAGTCCTTCCAAACTTATCAGACCATACGGGCTAAAATGGGGATCATACGAGTCTACTAATTACAGACTTTCTGTAGTATCTCCCGACATCCCAGTCCTTCCTCTTTTCGGAGTGAAGCATTTCAAATTCTTTAGGAACTATTTGCGGTCGTTTTAAAGAACGTCGTCGCTGTTCGGGTTCATTTCAAATTTCTTGGTTTCTTGAAAATGCAGACCTGTATTTTTCTACAGGCAGGCTGCGCAGTTTTTGTGTTGCTCGAACACCTTCTGGACAGTTCTGTTTGCGACTGCATGCGTCTAGTGGGTCAGCGGAAATATCTTTGGGGGGAACGCCGGACCTCTTCTTTCTCCATGATCCGCTAGGTTCTGTTCCAAACCTCGGGTACATGAACGCTTGGATATAACCTACTGATGATGATAAATAGACCAGAAATGGTCACTCTAATCTCTCCTAATTTGTCGATACCTCACCCGACTGTCGATTGCTCGTCATGGCGCGAGCAGAACTCCAAGGTAAAACGGACTCGACCTCCTGTTTGGAGGGTTCCTCCGGATCCTGTCGGAGGTCCGCACGCCCGAGCGGTGGATTGCGGACTCGACTTGCTTCCAACTCACTCGAGACATGTGTTTAGGCCTAGGGATTCAGAGTCGATAGCTGCACGCTGTAGTGGTGCCCATCCTAAGTCATGTGTAATGGAGGCAAGATTGACTGAACAGCATTTATTGTGTGATTGCGCACAGTCGGCTGGTAGTGAACCCCGTCGGGAGCGCCTGCCTAGCATGGGCGTGTGGACCAATCAGCGGGCGGCGTCGGGGTTAGCAGCGCGTGCGAACAGGAAAGCTGACAGACCCTTATCGCGATGGTGCACCTGAGCGGAAATGCCGTCTATTCCATGCTAGTCGCCGATCTTTCTTAGAAAGCCACTTCCTGACCACCCACTTGACGCAGTGTCCTGCAAGACCACCCGGGCTATAATGCAAAGCAGACCCCAGTTTGAGAGTGACATAGAATGCCGACCCCATCTTGCGTGTGTGTGTGGTAAATAATGAGTAATCTGTAAAAACCGTGAAACAGCCTTCGTCTCAGCTCTGCGCTTTGTGTTTTTACCTTGCAGTCGAATGCCTGATTATAAATTAGCAAGTTCAGTGCGCAAGGAATAATGAGAGTCGAGTGTCTGTGGCCACTTTTGACACTTGTGTCGCAGTAATCCGAAAACTAATCTAACCCGCATTTCGGTGAACATGAGTTGAAGTCCGCATCCCCTTGCACTGCTTTTGGGTAAGATCAACCACTCGGCCTCGCAGGGGGAGGTGGGGGGGGGGAGGGGTCAGCGCTAACCGCCAACGTTATGTGAACGACTTGTCTCTTTGATTATCAGGTTCACGTAATTCATTGATGTTTTTGGCAGATTTTGAATTATTCATACTGACCCAACTGTGAAAAACTCGGCGCCTCGGTGGGATTCGAACCCACGACAGCAAGGGAAAGGCATCAGCACAGCCAACGCTCTAGTCATGTTTTACGGTGGGGCCTCGTAGCTCAGGTGGCTAGAGCAGTGACTGTACTAGAGCCTTCCCCTTGCTGTCGTGGGTTCGAATCCCACCGAAGTGCCGAGTTTTGTACAGTTGGGTCAGTATGAATTATTCCAACAATCTGCCAAAACATCTATGAATTACGTGAGCCTGGTAGTCATCTGGTGGATTCTAGGTGGATTGCTTAGGAAATCCTGCCTGGGCAGTCAACTTACTGTATCAGATTTGGTGGATTCCAGACGTTGCAGTAGGTTGAGCGGGTAATTTGACCCAAATGTGATTAAACTCGCGTCGTCCGGCGGGGCCTCGTAACTCAGGTGGTTAGAGCGTTGGCTGTACTTATGCCTTCCCCCTGCTGTCGTGGTTTCGAATCCCACCGAGGCACCGAGTTTTTCACAGTTGGGTCAATAGGAATGTCTATGACGAAATTATCTGTCCGTTGGCCCAAGCACTTGCACTTCCATCAAAGTCTTCACACCTGTCTTGTGGCCTTTTAGGCATGGCGAACGAGGCCATAACTTTGGCCATCTTCAAGCCGGACGTTCAGCGGATTATGGCCTTCCGCAAAGTAGGTTTGTTTCCTGACCTCTTGTCTCTACAAAGAACTCTGTCCCGTTTTCTGTGACAACATTAATTTGTCATGTTTTCTTTTTCTCTCCTACTGGTTGTCGCAGCTGGCTGAACTCGCCATTCACAAGAGCGGCCTGAAGATACTGCTGCAACGTGAGTTTCGAATGTCCAGACGGGCTGCGGAATCCTTCTATGCAGCGCACAAAGGTGAGCCACTTTCAAGCCGCTGGATCGGCCCCCGATCCGCCTACTTCACCTCCCTCCCCTGCCCCACTTTATTGTCGTTTTGTGCTTCGCCCTTTGCTCATGAAGCTTGCGCCGGCAGTGACCGATAAAGTGCGTGTCTGCGCTCATTGTGGAGTTGAGTCTATTTCAGTAGTGGATCCTTTGCATTCTGTTTAGGAGTTTGAGTCCAAAAAGGGATTAATTATCATTTGAAAAGTCTTCACGCGGCCCGCATGACATGTTGTAGTCATTGGGACTGGGAAAGGGCGGGTGAGGTTGGGTGTGAGCGATGTTTACAGATCGAGTACGCAGAGTGCGCCATCAGGGAGCTGGGGTGACGTACGATTACCACCTGCATTCGGCGTTGGCCACTGAAGACAAATCGCCCGTACCAACGTCTTCTGACAACACAGCACTGGATTCGCTGGCCGTAAAGCCACTGCCTCGGCTGTTGTTAGCACTCAGTGGCGTAGGCCTCTAGAGAAGTTTGCTGGTGTCCGGTGGACAACCTGAAAGGCTTCTTTGGTGTCGATTTAGTGATTCCTATCGGCCAAATGTGCTAGAATAGAACCCGGAACCGACCTTTCACCTCTACCTAGCCAGGTAGGTATATGTTCAAGTAGCTTCTTTCCCAGTCGCCTCGTTGTGCGGCCAACTTATCCCGCTCCACAGGAGCAAATGGATGCACATCGATATGACTTGCAACGGCAGTCGATGTTTACTCTCCAAGCGTAGGAGGGGAGAGTTTGCGAAGAATTCGCGTAAGTGCGTCACGGGGAAGCCCCTCCTGATAGCTGTCTTTGGGCGTCGTTTTACTAATCCGCTTGCAGCGTTCCCCAGAAAAGGCGGTCGTAGGGAAACTTCTTTCTTCTTCTTCTTCTTCTTCTTCTTCTTCTTCTTCTTCTTCTTCTTCTTCTTCTTCTTCTTCTTCTTCTATTTTGCAGTCGCATTTGTAGGCTTTTTGGTACGATCCCCACATTTTTCAGGGGAAGTATCTCCCTGGACAGCCGTTTTCGTGAAGTGCGTTTCACTGCTGCTGGAGCTCAGGAGAGCAGGTGAGTCGCACTCTAGCCGCCAATCAGTGGACCGAACTTCGTTTTAGCTTTTGGGCAACGGAGCTGTGCAAATTAGTGTATTGTCCCGCTCAGGTTTCCTGTTGGGATACCTTGTGTTGGATGTGCCCCATCCGCCTATCTGTGCAGAATGAAATCGAGGAACGCGACTTCGTTTGCCGCCTCAGACTCTGCAGCAAACGTTGGTGGGGAGTGTACACTGTTAAATTGCTGGTATGACCAGGGCGGCGATATCAATGGTATGACTCGTCAGGCAGAACATGTCGTCCACGTACCGCCTGTAGAAGTCGGAGTTATTAATGGTTTCCCGTAAACTCGTTTTCTCAACCTTGTCTATGAAAACATTTGCGAGAAACGGCCAAAGCGATGAACCCACCATCACACCGTTGTAGACAGACTGGACATTCTGTGTGCATCGCGCAAATAATTCTTTTAGGGTCTCCACTGTCGTGCCTATCGGGTAGTTTGTCCCCTTATGAAGTCGCTCAGGTAGTTTATTGTCTCTACTACGGGTACGTTGATGAACAGTGATGATACATCTAACAAGAGCATCGTCCGTCTGTCAACGTTTACGTTGTTGATAACCTTGACAAAATGACTTGCGTCTTTCAAAGTTCGTGGATACAGACAACTCTGAAGCGCTTTTAACTTTTCTACCAGCCACTTTGCTATTGCGTGATAGGGTGAATTTCTCATATCCGAGATTGGACTTAGTGGTAGCCCGTGTTTGGGAATTTTGGGAAGACCGTAAATTCTGGGCATAGTCGTACCCACAGGTTTTATTCCCTCAAACTCCCTGTCAGACAGAAGCCCTTCTTTGTGGAGGACTTTGAGCACTTTTGCCAACTGACTCTCGATGGCCTCTGTCCGACCCCTGTCTTTCTCGCATTTTGAGAACTATGCACGGTCCGATAAGGTTTCTTCTAGTTTCCCCTCTCGATCCCTTTTATCCGCCAACACTATTCCCGAATCCTTGTTCGGTCTGGTTAGCACGATATTTTCATTTTCACGTAGCTTCCTGAGACTATCGAGGTAGGCCCTTGTCAGGGGACATTTGTTCCTTGGAGCCTTTCTTAAATACTCTTCACAGGAGTTTACCAGTTTAAGATAATCAGCTTCTCTTTTGGGGTCTTCATTGTCATGTCTATCTGGTGGTTTGTATCCTGAATAACGCCAAATGAGTAGCTTATTGTTTCTCCTAGGGGGTACTCTGGTAAATAATGGTGCTACATCTACCAATAGGAAAATGCTATACCTCCTAGACATGCCGTTACAGTTGTAAAGTATTTGAACTTCAAAATGTCTGCGGAAATGTCCCCTTAGGCGGTATGCCCTACGCGTAGAGAGAGGGGAATGTTAGCGAAGAAGGAGACTGGCATGACTATTTCTGGCTTGTTAGACATCGTCAGCCAGCCATACCCCAACCCAGACTTGCAGGGCCTGGGACTTTAACTGAGATTGTTTGATCATTGATCGAATTTAAGTCCAACCCTCTACCATTCAGCCATGTTGCAATTCGACTGCCCGCGAGGGCTCTCGATTGAGCTCCAAGGCTCAACTGGACCATCATGTCACGTAACCTTATAGGCGAACAGCCTCCAACCATACAGTTTTCTTGACCATGTGAGTCTGATAACGAGTTGTCCCACTTTGGTTCAAATTTCATCTGAGTTCACTTTGGGTGAGGTTTAACTTTCTCCGGCTATTCTCGGAGTCCGCGCCAACGCTTCCGTGGGCTATGGGCTCCCCCCGGGAAAGATAAACTTCCCGCTTTTTGAAACCCACAAGATATTACCGTCGTCCTTTTTGGATTGTTTTTTCGTGAATTATTCTTTCCAGGCATGCCTCCTATACCTTTGAACTGCCGACCCTTGATGAAAACATTATGCGTTCAGGGCGAGTTTCACATCAGATGAGGTTATAGTGGAAGAAACGGCATCCACATTGATGCTTGTTAGAGTTATGACGTTTCAAAGACCGATGTCGGCTCCCAACAGTCGGGGACTAGCAGATTCAGTGTAGCGAATACATTACAAGGTCTTCGTAGGTATGGCTTTGGCAAGTATTTTAAGTTTGCTCCGTATGAATTCACCAGATGATCAATTTGCAACTGTGGCACAGTATTTTGAACGTAAATCAACGTATGCCGATTCGAGTCATTGAATTTAAAGGCGGATACTAGTGCTAATAGGCCCTTTCTGTGAATTCCGATGTTAAGCGCCTCGAAAACTCCTGTACATCTTCCTTCGCACTAATAGCCTGACTTTGTTTTGACCTGGCCTGGTAGTCAGCTATAGCGTCAATCGTATGCGTGCTCGACTGTTGTCTCAAACCACCAACACGGCAGAGAAGCAAAACACGATCGACCACGACAAAATGAATCGAAACCTGCAAACTCAGGTAGCCTGCAGTTACTAGACTACACAAATATTCAGACACATGTCTTCGGAGGTCTCTAGACTGTTCATTTTTTCACCAAAATGCTCCCCTCTTTTAAGATTTAATTTTCAAAGTGTTATTACTTTCCTCATTTGCTGTGGTAAATCAACCCAGTTTGCGTTTTTTTGGCCAATTATGATTGTGTCAGTTGTCTTTTGATGCTGCAGACTACGAATTTCTCCCGACTGCCTGTCTCTGACATTTTTCCTCCTTTCGGCATCCCCACGTTTTCAGGAAAGTTCTTTTATGAACGTCTTGTGAACTACATGATTGCGTAAGTTGATGACGCTGTGCGGGATGCGAACCGCAACCTCTCACACTTCGTTTGCTTCCTCCAGGGGTCCCATCGGTGTCTACGTGCTCTCTGGTGACTCCGCAATTACTCGTTGGCGCCAGCTGATTGGTCCAACCAAGGTCTACAGGTCAGTTCGTCTCTTTTGCCCACTAACGCTCCCTCGCGTTGAAGTAACCAATGGGAAGACCATGGGTTATCGCCTGACCAGAGGGATCCTGGGTGTACTTCACACAACCACAAGGTCTGGATGTTTTCAGCAAATTAAAACTGCCTTTAGCCGGATAAGGGAATGGACAGGAATGAGCCGGGAGGAAGGGTGTAACTCTGGCCGAATGTTGAAAGGAACTCGGGGTTGCCTGTGAACATTTCGTGTGGAATTCCCCAAATAAAAGCGAGCTGTGAATTGACAGCACTTGCACGCAGTATGTTCAACTGGGTGCACGCGTTTGTGTAAATAAAACAAGCTATTAAGCGCATATCAGTAGCCTGCTTATGATCAATATTTATCACGACGCGGGGCTAGGGGGTTCTGGGTGACCTTTAACAAGCGGATGTCCAGACGCCTCTTCAGCTCACGATTAGGGGGAAGGGGGTGCACGACACGTTCCAGTAAAAAATTTCACTGGGGGCGCAGTACACGGAAGTCGCAGAATGTTACGTGAGTTTAGTCAAGGAACGACTGCTTCTTTCGTGCGGATTGTACTCCTGTCCAACTTTAAGACTTGTATTTTCCACACTGGAGTTATTGCAGGCGACGCTAATCGTTAAATATTCGTAAATTCGCGAAGAATTTTCACTCAATCTGACCCGACTCGATTGAAACTGAAACTTCCAATTATCTTTGATATATCTTCGAAAGCATTGGACACCCAAAAGAAGTGCTAAAAGTACCATTGCATGTGATTAGTAAGACTGTCTTTCTTAAAAACGACTGAAATTCTGAAAACTTAAGCATTTTTGTGAAATGAGAAAACAATTATGGACGTTCACAGAAAAGTAGAGGTGACATTTGGTAGCATGCCTAGTAAAGTGAGATAATTATGGGCCACCGCAACTGTCATATCTGCTCTCAGTAAAGCATTTAAATTACAAAGTAGGTTAAGAGCGCGATTATATAGTAATCTAAATGATAAAACTAATCCCGGCAAATGCTCCTGCTCCGCCGTCATTAATCGTTTTTAAGGAGATAAAACTGAGTATCCCAGAGGCTAAACATACTGCTATCTAATTTATATTCAATAAAAAAGTCAGATAGGAACATCAGCAATTGTGGGAAACCCTCCTCTCCTGTTCCAGGGCAGTCATCTTCGAACCCGAAAGCCTTCGAGGAACTTTGGGTCTCACTGACACGCGCAACGGATTTCACGGTTCAGGTGAGTGTTTCACCACCTTCAAATGGTAACTAATGAGCTCCACCCAGCTGTCACCCAGGCCTCCCCACCTTGAACTGGACGAACGGCGGATCATTTCAGTCCCCCATGTCCTTGTGCGTAAAACACCTCAGCCTGGAAAATTTGAGGACGAACGTGAGCAGAGACACACCTGTCCCCCAGAGCGCGGCCCTTCGTAGTTTTAATTTCACAAGTACTGGCACATCCCCAATGGTTGCACCACACTTCTCGCAGCCAACCAGTCCGCTCGCCCAGCGGGAAGCAGTTTGATATATAAATGCCGCGTTATCATCCTATAAATTTCCTTACCGAACTACAGTAGAGGGTAATGTCATATTCTCATTGCAAATAAGTGCGCTGTCTTCGCACCTGAACGACCGCCTGATTCTTAATGGATTTTCTCTCGAATAACTGGTTATCTGCTTTATTTCGTGTATGCAGTCAGTGGCCAGTCTCATGAAATGTTAACTGAGTTTCAAAAATGCGTTTTCGATCGGAAAAAATTACGTAGGGGAGGTTGTAGTATCAATTATCGTGCAGCACATTCCCAAGATATTTCCTTCACGCCAGGGCACCCACCTTTATATGTACTTGTTTTTGGTCGACTGTGATCAACGCACCCAGTAAAACGACTAATTAAGCAGTGTGACTTCGGACCTCCTTGTAAATCGAAGCCTGTTTTCTAGAAAACACACGCAAAAATGCTTTGCATTGCATGTGTTTGTTATTAGATTACGCCCTCTTCACGTGCTTACTCGAAAGAAGAATGGCTTTCGGTCGTTTAGAAACAGCTTGTAATTCTGATATTTTTAAGAGGCAGATACCTTTTGAAACATCATCGTATCTGTCCATTTCCTAATGCCCTTACGAGCTATACAACACAGTCCCCCACCACTGGAAAAAGTTCATGTGCCCTGTATAGTATTTTCTTAGTGGTATCGAGAAATTTATGATTTTTATTACGCGAAAAGCACTTTTCTTATTGACTGAAGACCCCAAATGCAAATACAACAGCAGTTGGGGTTTAACGATATCTTGGAATGTAAACCATCTAAAAACGTGCGAATAAAAGCTATCGAATACGCTAATTGAGTACAAGAAAAGACATCTTTGAACATTTCAATGGGTAAAATTTATACTTTGTAAGTAGCCATTCTTTTACCGAGCGCAGCTTTCACTGACGACAGACAACGGGTTTATCAAAAGCAAGCGTTCCGGTTTTACTAAAATATCTCGGATTTATGGTGCACGGTAGTTAATATAAAAACCCCCCACTTAGATAATCCATCCTAATCAAAAACGCATTTCGGAATTTCGGCGAACATTTCGTGCGATTGGTCACTGGCCGTACTTGTTCCTCGAAGGAGTCTTTCATGTCGGCTGGCAGAAAACAGTCTAGTTCGCGGTTTTGTAGGCTGGCGTATCGTCAACGACTGCCTTTGGCCAATTTCCTGTCCCTTCCACGCACAAACACTTCCGTACATTCACGCGGAGGGGTTGGGCTGATTGACTAATTCTTCGTGTAAACTGTTTTTCGTTGATTCTTTCATGTCACTGAACGTGGGCTCGAGAACCAGTCCGACGGCCAACGTGAGTTGCCAGGTTTTTCACCAGAAAACATCCCTGTGCAGCTAACTTATGCTCATCTGTCTGTCGTCGGAGACGCAGACTCGCTGTGTATTTCAGATTTGTTTGTCTTCGAGACTTAACTCACAGTCCTCTTTGCCATTCACCTCTTTCTAGACAGCAGGGAGTCTGCATTGGAGGAAATATCGTTCTTCTTCCCGGACTTGGATCTCGAAAAGTTGCTCAAATAGGCCACCGGCGTTTCCCCATTTCAGATAGTTACATTGCCTGTTTTACACCTTCTTGCAATACAATTCACTTAAAGTTAATATTTCATCTGCGAAGAGCCTTTCCAGGCTGTAGTCAAGAATTTAGTACAAATAGTTAGGCTGAGTATCAAACGAAGATACTCCTGTCTTGAAGATACAGCTGTGGTTTTTCTGTGAATCGTTTTGTGAGGATATGGACCTACGCAATGATATATCGCCCGTTCCCTCTGTCTTCTTCCCATCCCGGCCCTGTTCTAATCACACAGCAATGTCGATACTATATAAGATTGGTGTAGACTCTAGTGTGCAACCAGGTGTGAGGCACCAGCTTGCGCATGCCACTCACTTGCTGGTGTTTATACTAACACGAACTGGGGTTCTGTGCAGGTAGGGCTCGCCATAAAGGATGAAAATATTAGGAGCCACTGCGGCCGGACTCTCAGGTCAAAGGGGAAGGGGTCAAGTTGCCCATTCTTATAACGGTCATTCACTTCACAACATTCAACTCGCGAGCTAGTTTAAGGCACATAGGCTTTTTCTGCAGTTCGCAAAACCTTGAGTTTTATCTGCACTCGATGGTCCTCACTTAGCTGATGTGGCGTGAGGCCGTAGGCACCATTTCTCTGAAGATGTGTAACTGAAGAACGTCGTCTACAGTACTGTCTGTGGCAGGATGTTCTACAGTTCATGTACATGGTGTGGAATTAGTCCTAAACCCAAATTCGGCTTAGTTTATTTATGTGCGGTCTCCTTGGATTAAATAATAATAATACATCCAAGGGAGGTCTGGCCAGGACCACCACCAGGAGTCGCATTTGCACCGAGACCATCTGTAGAGATCACGCATGATTTTTTGGGACCGGATAAGGTCACCAGCTGGTGTTGCATAAGCAAGACGAGGCAGTGGGACAATGCACGTTTCCCACTTTTATTGCCTCACCCATGTTCTTCATAGAATAGTCAGTGTACGGTGATCGGCGACTAGACGGTTCACAGGTGGGGGTAAGGCGGAATTATTGAAAGGACTTTACTGCGCCTAGAGGCATGCACGCAGCTCAGCAAGCAGCGGCAGCGAGTTCTCCACACCGACAGGGAGACGCCGATGTTGTTTGCCCCCCTCCGCCGCGACGTCCGTCTCTGCTTGGGCTTCGTCCCCCTGTAGCCAATCAGTGAAGACGCAACGTTAACGGAACCTGGGTCCTCGCCACACTTGCCAAGTCCCGTGCCGTCCAAGCAATTGACTTGTTGGGGACTTTAGGTTTACTGAAGGCGTCTGCGCTGAGGATCGCGGGACAGATTGCTGCCGACTCTTCTTTCGGAGCCACAATCTCCATGGATGAGTTCTGCGTGCCACGCGAGGACTAGAGAGTGTTTCGTGTCTGTTAGAGAAATAATTATGCTAGCGATTGCGTTCGGGGTCACCTCACAGCGTTTGTGCAGATCCATAATGACGCCATGCAATTCGAAGATTCTGTGGATACGCAAAATAAGTAGGCGGTTATATTAGTTTGCTAAGTCGTTGGGAATAATAAGAATATGAGACATCGTTTTTTTCCTTGAAATTCGATATCGGTGCACTTTGAGTCGAAGCAGTTGTCATAGGCCCTCGTGTGGGCTTCCGAGACTAGGAAGTTAAACGGAAACCATTTCGAACGTCCAATTGGGATCCTTCAATATTCCCCTCACCGTGGAGTTGCAGAATATAATGGATGACTCGGGTGAACTTGTTCTGGTGGTCATTCGTGTTCTGCTGTCTGCTCAGACACTCCCGACTTTATGTCATCAAGTTCCTAACGTATGCTGAGCCGGAGAAATTTGTTGATAACCAGTCTTCGTATTACTTGACTTTCTGGGCGGGAATGACTTGACAGGGATTAAAAGATCGTTTGGCAAACGCCCGAGGACAAGCGGTGGAAATACCAGAGAAATTGATGGCGTCGTGAACGCCAGGCTTTAGGACCGACAATCATGTTGCATCACGAGACGAACGCCTACTAAAGGTTTAAAATTGTATACTGAGTAGCCTTAAGCAAAAATTAGTGCGAAGTAATAGGCAAACCAAGGGCATTGTCACTATCCCTTCAAATATATATTCGAACATTATTTGCAAGCGGAAACCATTTCTAAAATGCCTTTTTGGTATTGGGCATACTAGGGGCGTGGTTTGAATTATTATGATTCTGGCCACCTCAAACAATCGGAGACTCAGTGCAAGTCCTATAAAGCCTCCGATACACGAGCGGAAGTTAATTAATAAGAATACAATGTTGGCAAATTTTGGGTAGAAGAAATGGAAAACATTATAGGCTCGAAAATATATTGCAGCTTATTCTTTAGAACACACACGATAAGATTACTGAAGATGACAGAGACATTAGTAAAGAGAGGGCGTGCGAAATACTAATTATTTCAAGCAGCTTCATTCTGTTACATTTCAAATTGTGTTGATTTGCCTTTAGGGCAGGTTTTCAATAGCCTGTATTGCTCACATTTCCTCCACAGTACGCGATTGGTGTGTAAATTTCAAGCGAATGAGGAATGCAGTTTTGTTCAGTGAATGGCGAAGCGTGAAAACACCCGGTCGAAGCGTGCGCAGGAATATAAAATGATAAGTAAGGACAGGGACTCACTAGTAGCAGCCCAATAAATTCGTGTCAATGTGAAAGTCTTTTGCGGATATGTACAGTTGTTTCGGCAGACCGCGATGGCGTAATGCATGCCGGAGATGTGTTCTTGTTCTGCGAACGCACCTGCATGCATTTGTCCACAGCAGACTTATGCGGTTTTTGGATGTATGTGCACAGTCATCAAGGAGGCTTTACTTAACCAGAGGAAAGAGGAATTCCAGACATAGGTTATCCAGACACTGAACTTACGATTCGTGGATAGCAAATATAATCGATGAAGGATTTATCTGCGCTGCCGAAATGAGGAGGGTCTCGAGCCATATTAAAGTTACTTAAGGTGGTAGCGTTGGTAACTTTCGTAATGATGCCCTCGGAATAAATTGCGGTGGTAGAGCTGCTGAGGGTTCAATTGCGCATTATATGTCGTAAGGTGTAGAAAAGTGGTGTCCGCCACAACGAACACGAACTAGAATGCGGTTTTGCTGCGATTAGAGGCAGAAGAAACGATTTCCTCCATTTTCCTGCGTCCTGGGTCGCAAGAGGCGAGGTGGATTTGTAGTCGCAACGGTGGATCCATAGATGTCCGTCCATGACGATCTGTTCGTTGGAAATCATTTAGCAATGCGTGCGAGTGTGCAGATGTGGGGGGTCTGAAACATTGATCTATTTGTTCGCCTAAAGTTCTCTGTGTGTATTTAGCAGGTCTCGTAAACGTCTTCTCCAGTCCTGATTTCAGTGAGGTATACCTGTCGACATTCAACGAAGACATCGAAGGTGTCCGGCTTGGTTTGCAGGTGTCTAGGGAAGATCATCACTGTGCTCCTGTAATAACATTACATTCGGCCTTTTCTATGAACGCTCGTACTACCACCGGCTTAGAATGTCCGTTTTGGATAGTGTCCTTTATTTCTCCTTAAGACCTGATCGTCTCATTATAGTTTAAGCAGTTTCAGCTTATGATCGAAGTGCGGAACGCCGAGGAGGAGAAATTTCAATCGCAGATGAATTATTATCATCCAGTAGATTAAACTTTTCATGTTTATACAGCATCTTCAAGTAACGCACAGCATAGAAACTGTTTGAAGACCTAGGAAATCGACGTAGAACGCGTCCCTTCCAAAGGCAGATCTTATCGAGCTTTGCAGAAATTGCAACGAAATGGTTGTCTTTAATTCCCTCCATTGTGACTAGTTCTTGGCAGTTCTACGGCGTCTTTGCATGTCCAGCAAATACATAAGTCCGCCTTTTAGGATAATAAGTAGGTCTTCGTTAGAACTATGCTTTGTATGCGACTTTAGCTTCCGGGTTTTTCTTGTTAAGTTTTCCGTCACTATCTCTCCTGCAAACCGTCTAGTCCGTCATTACATCATTTTGACGACTTAACTGATCGTGGTTCGATAAGCTTCCTGTTTTACGACCAGCGGCATCCCAGACTTTCGGATCGAATGTCGACAAACTCTTACCGAAGGACGCTGTGTGATTCACTAGAACTTTGACCAGGGACAGAGCAACCTTTAACTTAATGGACTTTGAATCCTGTGCTCTGATCAGAAAAGTATTAAGGACCCCTGAGGTCTCTAGGCCTTCGCAGTATTTGATTTTTGGGACTGTGTTCCCGCCAACATTTGATTGGCAGTGATCGGCGTTCTAGTAAAAAACCGAAAATGGCGAAGCAAAAGTATGGTTATATGGTGCCAGTTTACGGAGCCGTTATTGTTATATCTTACGTTGGTATGCGACTTTAGTCATGTAACTTTCAGCTCTGTATTATTTGTTGAGCGGAGAGGGCTATCGTTTCGATATCGGTTGGTTTTTGGAAAGTGCTTCCCCGTTCCTGTGGGCCTGCACAGGAGTCGGGCTCGCGATCTCACTCTCCGTTGTTGGAGCGGCGTGGTAAGTTTGCAGAACAATGCAATACAATGCCGTTTGTTTTATTGGCTTGGTCGTTTGGTCTTTCGAAGATCTTTACGCCAACATTAATGTCATCCCACAATTGCCGTTCTACTTTTTATGTTCTAAATGCTGGCACCTATCAGACACTTTAACTTGTTTTTGTGCGCTAACATTAATTTCCAGGCATTTGCGAGATGGTCTGTTCCCAGTGCCTTCCCTAAAGTCGAGAAAGGTCCCTGAATGGGTGCTATGCGCTTATGCGGAGACCTACCACGACGTTTAGCCTTAGGTGAGTAGCATTCAGTGTCCGGCAGGTCTTCCGCATAGCATTGAGGAGATTTTGACGCAACCCTAACAGCCGGAGGAATGTGTCCGCATACTCTTTTGTGCAGCCACCGACACAGCTGTTTGGTCAGAATGCGCTGTCTCCCTAAGACGCCTATTTTGCAAGGCAGCGGAATCGTATGGTCCATTCAAGATAATTGTCTTTTTGCTGTCCAATAGCCACGGCGTAAACTGCCGTCTATGCAAACTGACAGTGTACGCCTCCGCGTTTGTTTGCTGAATGAGGCCCACAGATATGCTGCAGACATCAGTTTAACCTGATATTGAGATTGATGCTTCAGCTAATGATCAACAACCTGAACGCCAATGTGCGTTGTGGAGCAACTCAGGGAGTAACTTTTCCTTGCTACCGTGTTTGCAGACTTGTTAGAAGCGTGAAGATGTCTAAGCCGTCCCTGTGTAGCCCCGTTCAAATCTAGTTTCTGTCATCTATCCCATTAGAATTCAGGATCGGGTCCCAGTTTATCCAGACTTACGGTTAGGCATGCTTTTCTGACGACTAGTAAGCTGGTAATGACACTCCAAGTCGAATGAATTTGTCCGTATACCTACCTTCATTTGCTATCACTGGCGTTTCGATGAAACCTAGAGGGCGCTGCTCCCGCTGCAAAGTTGGAAATCCGGATCTTTGTAGACCTGCGGGCGTTGGCCCACAACCGCTTTAACTTACTAGTCAAGTTGTTTAATGGTATTGCTTCCTGCCCCTCTGTTTTATCAGCGACCTACGAGGACAGCTAGTATTTAAGGTACACCGAGAATAAAAAAGTGCCAAACTGGAAAGATATTTCTCGAGTACACTTCGAGCATGTCTTAGTTCAACGCCGCCCAGTGACTTGCGTTTTCAGCGACACCAATATACCACTCGTATAATAAGTTTCTGGAAAGTGATACTCTGTACATTCAGGACAGCAGATGCTTGCCAGTCTATTTCTTTAGCACAGCTCGAATTGTGTTTCGAAGGGAATTTGGTGAAACCTATCACCAGAGTCAAAGTTATCTGATCGTTCTCGACTGCGTAAAGGCCACTTACTCAATCTCCCATCTTGATTACCGAGCGAGGCTCATCGATTTTCTCCATACCCAACAATTCTCGTCACAGAATAAAGTAAATAGTTTTGCTCTTGGCGTGGCGTCATTGCCAGATGCTAAGGATTTGCCCATGATCTTGAGTTTCTGGCCGATTGATGTAAGTATGGCAAGAAGTAGTGTCTCTGTGACCCGTCCCAGTTCGGACCACTTTAAACAAATGCTATCTACTGAACAGGCAGCTTATGTCTAAGATCTACATCAGTTAGTTCGGTCCCCTGTGTGCTCCACGGCATGGCTGGTGCAGGTAGGCGAATTGTGCGTGAATTAGTTTATAGTGATAACAGGCGTACCCTACATCTGCCGCGCTCCCTTTCCTCGCCAGCGTCAGGTGAACCGGAGTAGAGCTCGGGTGCAGTGGTTGTCAGAGCCAAACAGCCCGGCTACGCATGCCACGCATGACTTAATCCTCGGACGATGTACCAGGTTTTCACAAAACAAGATGTCGGCTCGGACCAAATCTGAATGGGAGAGCCACAGAGGCCAGGTCGAGAAGGGGTCATTGAGCTGAACTTGGCCCACCAGTGAGTCACTCCATGCACTCATTGCTGACTACGAGGATTGAGTTATCCAGTCTGCTGGTAGCCATGACTTTTAATAAATCTGACTTATTATAACAAGGAATTGACTGATGTGTCGTTGGGACGGATTTCCAAGCATTGACTTCCCCCTCCCCTCTCCACTATTTGAGCAGGTCTGTCATCTGGCGCTAGAGAAGTATTCTTTTTGAGAAAGAGCCATACTCCTTGCGCACTTTGTTTGGCACGTGTTAGTTTAAAAGTCATGCTGGGGAACCTCACAGGATTGAAACAAACCTAATTATCTTCCTTCTCCGGCCCAGCGCCGGCCGAAGTTAGATATCTCCTGCTTAAGACCTGGCCACGACCTATGCCTCATTTTCTAGAGGCCAGTTTAATTTGTAACCAACTCACTCCCCCCCCCCCCTTGAGAACAGGTCGAGATGCTGTTGCGCCAGCCAGGTTAATTTTTTTACCTGTCCTTTAGGGGTATTTACCTTACTGGCGCCAGCATCATCGGAGCAGGTGTCAAAGCCCCTCGCATTCGGACCAAGAATTTGATCAGCATTATCTTCTGTGAAGCCGTGGCTATCTATGGTATAATTATGGCAATTGTCATCGGAAATCAAATCGAGGTATCTCAATTTGCTTTAAAACACAACATTTCTCCAACTCATTTTTGTGGATCTTCTAGGACTTCATTTCTGTTGTCATCTCAACTCTCATATTTATGATTTCTGCAGTTGCCGAAGACAGCTTTCAAGCTTTTAACATAGGTTTAATTAACTCTTTTTTTTCAAGTCACCAATCACATGTACTCCCTCTCTATATCTGTAGTCAAGAACTACGAACTGATGCAGATAGTTTCACTGATGAAGTCTGACTCGTACTTAGGTATGCGCGGTCGGTGAAGTTTGGAAAACCACTGAGGTGCAAACAGGAATCGTCTTTAGCGTATCACGTGTCTCCATCACGTCTACCACTGTGAATGAGATGGAGTCATTCTTAGTAGACGGTACCGTACTAGAGTTCGCTTGATTGCGACACGCTTCACATTATATGTGATCTTTAGCCGAAACATATCGGGCCTGGAAACCTGTGCCTTTGCTTAGTTATTGCTTTTTTCTCATTACAGCCCTTTGATCCCCAAAAGGCCACTGATACTGTCCTACGAGCCAATTACTTGGCCGGCTTTGCCATGTTTGGCGGCGGTCTGACGGTTGGTTTTTGCAATCTTGTCTGCGGTATCTGTGTGGGCATGGTCGGATCAGGCGCGGCACTCGCCGACGCTGCTAATCCCTCGCTGTTTGTGAAAATTCTCATTATTGAGATTTTCGCCAGCGCTATTGGCCTCTTCGGTGTAATTATCTCCATCATACAGGTGAGCTCCAAGTCTCCAACCCCCTTTTTGCCTGCCTTTGACCACCCCTTTGAAACTTTTGGACTCCTACGCAATTGCGCTTTTAAGAATGACTAAGGGCCAGCTGCAATCGGAGTGACCTTCGCCGATTTGGCCCTGGGTAGAGTCGCCACTCGAGGTCGCTTTGCAAAGAGTGGGCAGAATCCGCAGGTTTTACTCATAAAAGGCAAGGTGGACGAGAATGACCACTTCTGGCTTAGACCTAGGATTTGGAAACCGGTCAGCGAAGTCTCCAGTTTGAAACTACGAGACAGAACGAACGCGTCACCACAATGTGGCGGGGCATGAAGTAGACACCCCATGAGCCCTCGGCATTTCCTTAGTCTTTTTTATACCCAACCATCCATTACTCTCGTTTCCGTATCTCATTTCTTACAGCTAATTACTCCATGGTCTTATTTAAAAGCAAATCTCCGTGGTAACTTCTAGTCATTACGATTATCTAGCGACCTGAGGAGGCAGTCCTCCTTTCTTCCACAGGCACAGTTTTCTGCGCTTTGGGCGTTTCCCATACACAGCTGTTAGCATTTGCGTCTTTACGTATCTGTGACAAGCTGAGAGTTAGCATCCGTCGTTACTGACGGGGTGTACACATAGCCGTCAGGTCTTACAAGTTTCTTTTTTTGCTTATTTTCAGACCTCACGCATCCGGATGGGTGATAAAGCCGGCTAGCGGCCCGGCCTTTGGACGCTGTGTTTCTTCAACCCTAGATCGTTCCGTCAGCTAGGCCATCGTTCAGCCACTTCCAGCTCTTTTACTACTACTGTGTTGTGTGACGTCTCTTTGATTATTGACAGTCTTTTTGGTGTCCATCCTGCCCTGTTCTCTATGCCACTGCACCAACCCATTGTGCGCTTATCTGTCTACGATTATTTGACTGACCTGGTTTGTGATAATTGCCCTTTAAGCATAATAGGGGGTCGCAGACCGCCCCTCCTCCCTGTGCGCATACTGCGCGTTCATCAAATTTATCATACAGGCCAGCATCTGTCTTGTTTCTTTTGTCAAGCGGCGGTTATACTTACCGCCTTGGTCGATTGCAAAGGCGTTTTATCTTTCTTTTGATCGAGGACTCTTGCTGCCCGCGTTAAGTAGTCAGTTGTCGAGAGAACTGTTAGCGCAAACAGTGGTGACTTTTTCTGGCTTATCAGACAACTCTGCCCTAACTTCCTGCCTGGTACGCCACTGGGTTACCAGCTTCTGGAATTTAGCGCTCTGTGGTCCGTAGGCGTCCATAGTCCAGCTGGAGTGGCTTTAATCGGCCCGGTCGAGTTAGGGGACGCAATGGAGGAGTCTTCGTTGAGTGTTGTCGTGGTTTTCGCCGAATTCGGAGGACCTGGATTCCGACTGCCTATGTCCTGTTTTCGACCCCACAGCATTTTGAACCCCTTGCGGTTTGAAGGGGCCGCTGACACTATGCCCGGCTTCACGCACTGACCGCAACCTCTTACGCGACAATTTTTCGTTCTGTTGGTCGCGAACAGCATGCTCTCTCAACCCACCGTGTGCGGCTCGGGCTTCTTAAACGCGAGCCTCAAATATTCTCTCTGAACTTGAATAAGTGGCTCCAGCCAGGAAGACTTCTGTCTCAAATCTTGCCTCCGATCGATGGCTATATATCCCCTCGGAGCGTTTTAACCTTCGAATGTCTAGACACCGTGTCCCGAAGGGGAGGGTGGCGATGATCTGCTCGCAGACTCTATTGTCCTCTACAACGGGCCACATGGTTACCCGTTAGACTAGCTGCTGTCTAGCCGGCGCGTCCACAGGTGGCGGATAGTGGAACGGTCATCAGTGAAGGTCAACTGCGAAATAAGCAGATCCAGGTCTGACGAATAAGCAGTTGCGTACAAGCAGCAACAGGGCTAACATGGTACGGGGTGCTGAGGTCTGACACATCGAAAGCCTTATAAAAAACCCGCAAAGCCTGATGACGGCATTGTGACATGGCGACCGTAAACCGCCATTAAATAATTTTACTTGTCACCGCTGCCCTGTGGTTAGGCTTTTAAGCCAAAACGCTAGAGGAGGCAACTTCAAACAAACAATCCGAGGGGCTGTTGGGGACACGCCTGTATCCGGAATTCGCGAGAAACCTCATGAAATATTCCCGACTACAATAATACGACTCATGCCACGACGTCCGCTGGGAGCGGCGCGCTCCGCAACCCTGGTCCCGTGGGGCGGCGAATAGTATGTGAGGTGGAATACTCAATCGGGAACGGACTCTTGGTACTGGATGCTGGAATGTGCGGACGTCCCTGGACCCTGCTACCCAGAATCTGACCGCGCGCAGTCTTAATCAGTACAACGTGGATGTCTGCTGTCTATCCAAAGTTCGACTTTCCTGACTCAGGCCCTCGAGAAATAAAGAGCCCTGGAGTCGAATCATACTTCACCCTGTACCACAGCGGCCCGCTCAACTCATTCGGTAGGCACGGTGTGGCGATCGCCCTCGCAACAAGCGGACCCCGTGTTACTTGCTTTGGAAACCAGTCAGTTGCCCGATGGCCTACGTGCGGATGTATGGTCACTTCACGAACATCTCGATCATCTCTGTGTACGCACCAACTTCGGCTGCCGAACAGCGCAATAAACAGGCACCTCACTGTTGTAAGCGTTAGTTGAACGACTCCCTTGCCGCGATCTGCTGATTGTCGCCGGGGCTTGGAGTGGTCGGACTGGATCTGGCGACTCCGCAGTCATCCTATTGTCCGCTTTGGGCTTGGTTCGAGAAGTGAAAATAGCGAGAGATTGCTGAACTTCGTTGATCAGAACCGACTGCTTGTCACCGACATGTGTTCCCATCATCGCAAGAAACATTTGTTGACCTGGTATTCAAACGACGGTCATACGGCCAGTTAGATTGACTACATACTAGTCAGCTCAAGGTTTCGCAGCTGGGTCCACGATAGCAGATCGATGCGTGGTGCCGAGACTGGTAACGCCTATGGGTCGGACCATGTCCTCGTCCGTACACGCTCAAAAGTTCATCTCATCCTCGCCAAAAATGCCACGTCCTAGACGTCTTGTTATCACAAAAATCCAAACCAGCACTGCCGAGGCCCTGAACAGAGAAATCCGGTCCGAGCCGACAGTGAAGGCAGTAACCAGTGGTTGTTACTGAAAACGTCGGTCAGTGGGGCAGCTGAGAAGATCCTTGGATACACCCAGCGGCGCCGCAGTGACTGGATCAGCGGAAGAACTCTGCAGTTGTCTCCTCTGGCGACTCGAGCCAGGTCCCTTAATGATGATCCCGTCCGCTAACTTCGAAAGATGACGGAAGCAATATTGGGCTGGAATAACGACCTCCATGGAACAGACTACGAACGTTGGTGACACTAGAAAAGTCTACCAACTTATCCGCCAAGCTATTGGTAAGCCCTCTACACTGAGTGAATCTGTTCGCGAAGTGGATTGAGGCTTTATTGCTGACACCTCGGTCAAAGTTGGGCGCTGGCGTGAGCATTTCGAGCACCATCTCAACTTCGATATGCAAACCACCTCGCCCTTCCCTCTTCAGCGGAGTTTCTTCGCTCTCCCACCTATGCAGTGCCATTCGACCCCCTTCTGAAGCAAAGGTCGCCGATGCCATACGAAATCTTCGCAACAATAAGGAGCCCGGAGAGGACGGTATACCCGCTGAAAGCTACAGGCCCTAGGTCGATACTCTGGCGCCCTGGCTCCATGAGGCGATTCAACGAGCGTGGAGAAACGAGGATGCTCCTGATGACTGGGGTTTAGGCATCCTTGTACCTATCCTCAAGAAGAGAGATAAGACGAAACGCGAGAAATACCGCGGAATGTGCCTCATCGACGTTGCTGTGAAGACCTTAGCTGTTGTCCTACTCAGGCAATTCGAGGCTGTGCATGACTCTAGGACGAAGCCAAATCAAGCCGGATTTCGTGCTGGACGTGGATGCGCGGACCAGGTATTCACATTAGGGCTCATTCTCCAATTTTGCCATAGCTACCAACAACCGACGGCCGTCTGCTTTGTTGACTTTGCCGCTGCGTTCGATTCCGTCCATCGTGAGTCCCTGTAGCAGATAATGGCGCTAGGTGGTGTGCCGCCAGAAACCATCGTCATGATCAAAGCCTACTATCGTTCCACCACCGCACGAGTCCTGGTCCGAAAACATCATTCCCAACCGTTTGGTATTTGATCTGGTGTTCGACAAGGTTTTTTCCTGTTGCCCATTCTGTTCAGCTATGCTACTGACTGGATTCTCGGGAGCATCCTACATGAAGGTAATGCTGATCGAGTTCGCACCCGGACATCGACTTATTGATCTCGACTGCCGATGATATCGCCTTACTTGCTTCATGTTTTGGTGATCTGCAGTCTATGGTGTCAGGGTTGAATTAGGTTGCTAAATCGGTCGGTTTATCCCTAAACGCTGGGAAGACTAAAGTGTTTTCAAGCTGCATCTCTGACCAGGAGAAGGCACCCCTCGGGATTGATGGCTGCCAACTTGAAGAAGTGGACAGTTTTAAATACCTCGGGGCGAGGCTGCCGCCTAATGGACAGAGTAAGGACGACATTGTCTCCCGAATCGATGCTGCCCGCTGGGTTTTTTCAAACCTTCGGAAATGCCTTTGGGACCGACGTGACCTCTCCATCGCCACCAAGATTCGCGTGTACCGTGCATCTGTCCGGTCTGTCCTTCTTTACGGTTGTGAATGCTGGGCTTTGCGCGTGGAGGACGGGCGAAAACTGGAGGTATTTGACCACCACTGCTTGAGGACCATCCTTCGAGTGAAGTTCACCGACTTCGTCTCAAATGAGACAGTCCGCGCTCGCTGCGACAACATCTCAAGGATAACCCAGGCCATCCAAGAAAGACGACTGAGGTGGTTCGGGCATGTTCTTCGTCGTCCACATCAGGAGCTCAGTGTTACTGCCCTCGATCCGGCACCGTTGCACCATTGGAGGCGTCGAAGTGGGGGTCAGTTCTAAACCTGGCTCGACACAGTTAGTCAAGACATGGAGGTGGTTTTCGTCTTTGGCGAATAGAATGGTTTGAACTCAGGTTAGCAAAAGTCAGAGATCCGGGCTGATAATCTGAGGAAAATGAAGTGCTCACCGGATCGAAAGACTTGTTTGAGCAAGTCTTTCGATCCGGTGAGCACTTCATTTTCCTTAGATGGGTTGGACTGTCCAGATCTGCTGCCGCGGATCGTCACGCGTGGAGAAGTACAGTTCGGGACATCATCGAGGTCGTGCTAGATCAGATATGGTCGCAGCCGTACCAAGTACAATTAAGTAAGTACTACACGAGCCCGTCCCATATCAGCCAGCACAGAGACGGAATCGCCACCTCTTACTTAAGTGGAAAGCGTATTCCTTGGCACCTCCATACGACCTCTAGAATGCACAAGTAATTATATGTAAACGCTGCAAGGAGGGTGGCCAGTCAAGGTCAGCGTTAGGTCCGATTTAAGAAGTCTAGGGTAAGCGACTGAACATGCAGTTCGTGTGCCTGCCCAGCGCCCCAGAAATTGTAATTTCGCTAGCTGCGCTTTCGTTCTCTGAAGTTGGACATCAACGCTGCTGGAGCGGTTTAAATGCTGCAGACTTTCTTGATGGCCATCATTTCAGAGCAGACAATAGGCGCTTGTTCTGTTTCCCATGACCTGTTGCACTTGGTACGGGCAGGAGACGAATTCCA